CTAAATTCTAACTTTTATTTGGATCTGAAACTTTGCCATTGAAGCTGGTAGTCCATCGTATTCAACTGTCTGTACTTCTGGTGGTGGGACATCATGTCTTTATGTAGATGCACTATCGTTTCAACTATTAAATTAATTCTCTTTGGAAAAAAAAATCCACAGGTGAAAGATCGTTTTTGTAGATTAGTTCAAAGTGGCATTGAAGATGGTGCTAGACTTCTGCTTGACGGTAGAGATATTGTGGTACAAACTTGTTATTATTATGAGTTTGTTAAATAAATTCTACTACCTTACATTCGACGAATTTTAGAACTTTCTGGTGTTGATAAGATTTTTGCAATAATTGGTAGGTCCCAGGATATGAAAATGGAAATTTTGTTGGTCCAACCATTTTATCTGATGTAACAACGGACATGGAGTGCTACAAGGTATTCTTCTCTCTTTCTGTTGGACTTATTCTAAAGGGATGTAATTGATATCTAAATCTCTTAGCATAAGAGGCTTGAAGTTAATATGTTTTCATTATTTTGACAGCATTCTGGTACATTAATTTTAACAGCAATATTTTCTGTCGTCAGGAAGAATTTCTTGGACCAGTTCTCCTTTGTATGCAGGTACTACCCAGTTTTTCATCCCATTGGTAATATTGCACGTTGTCTTCATCAGGCTGCTTATTGTTTTCTGTTGGCTTTACTGGCAGGCTGACAACCTAGAGGAGGCTATATCCATTGTAAACAGAAACAAGTACTTCTTTTAACTCTACTTAACTGAGGTGGTATATAGATGGCATACTTAAACCATTTTATAGTCATTGAGGTGCTGCATTCCATAACCCATTTTACCTCTGGTATTCCTTAATCGCCATTGAATTTTAACTTTTTCTATTTTAAATTTGTAGTACTTTCGTTTGAATCTTGATGTTGGTTGTAGCTTCTTGAAGCTGCTTTCCTTGAAGAAGTAAATTTATAGGCCCTTTTTTGTTGACTCTTTTTTGATGATAAGGTGTTGCACGTGCAAAATTCCTCCTTTGTCATGGCTTCGTGGATATACGTTTAAACTACTCAATTTTCTTCAGGAACCGAAACGGAGCTTCCATATTCACAACTTCTGGCATTTATGCGAGGAAATTTCAGAGTGAAGTGGAAGTGGGAATGGTTAGTGATCATTTATTGGTGATACAAATTTCTATCCATTTAGATTTCGGTTGATGGACGCCCATTTAGATCGCTTGAATTATTTATGTTTTACTCCGACATGTTAATTATAGAGTGTTGAGTGAAACCTTTGGACTTCCAGCATTTTCATGGAAGCTCTAAGCTGGTTTACAGCTGAACTAGTTTTTCACATCATAACCATATACCTACATATTTTATCTGTAGATTTCGGCTTCTTTCTCCTAAATATAGTTTCATATTTGTTTTTCCCTCCTAAATCCATTTCAGGTTGGTATCAATGTTGCTGTTACAGTTCCGTTGCCATCTTCCTTTAATGGTTTGAAGCCATCTTCTGCTGTTGATCGAGTTCTCTTTTTCAGTTCAAACTTTGATTCCTCCTTTCTGCCTTGCAATATTATCCTTCATTTCTTTTGTCCATTACTTTCTCCTCTCACTGTCTTAATTTTAATTTGAAGATAAGGCAGGCCTGGAATTTTACACCAAATTGAAAAGAGTGGCTCAGCAGTGGAAGAACTCAGCAAGCATTGGAGTCTCAATGACGGCGTCTTCACCATCTGAGAGACATTTGAGATCCCGTACTGTACCTTCCACGTTAGTTTCAACATCTGATAAAGATTCACCTGGTGGGCGGCACCGAAGTTTACCCCCGTTGCCTTCCACATCTGAGAGGGATTCACCTAGCGATGCTGTATTGCTGCCAGACCCTCGAATATCTCAGACAGATTTAGCCAATGAAAGAGCCACCTCCTCTCCGCCGACTCCTGATAGGGATTTGCACGGTCAGGGACTGTCCCTGATTTCTACCTTGTCATCAGAGGGGGACATATCCAACCAAGAGTTGTCTCCTGCTATGCTTTTAACAGGTGATAGAGAATTGCCTGGCCAAGCTATGTCAGTGTCAACATCCCGATCATCTGAGAGAATGTACTTATCTCAGAAATGTCATTGGAGCGAACCCCTGAGGGCCGATTCAATTCCATCCAGTTCTGAGAGGATCAAAGGGCAGGCATCTCGAACTACTACTCCTGCTTTGGTTTTAGCAGCAGAGGGGTTCTACGTGCCTACATCTCATGACAGTAATTGTCTGATTACCCATGGAAGTGACAGTACAGTTCCATCTCGAAGAATCGACAGCATGTGTCAATCATCAGAAAGAGTATACATGCTGGCAGCTTCCCATCTGAACGACAGTATGAGTCAAACATTGCGGAGAACTGATTCGCCCTTATTTTCTTCTTCTGATGGAAAAGACCACATCAGCTTGGACTCTCAAACCGACGCTGCTTTGCAATCAGATAGAATGTACTTGTCTAGCTTGTCAGAGAGGGACGGTAATATGGCTTCGGCTTCTTCTCAACAAGTTGAATCTTTAACATCCACTTCAGAACGAATGTATATACCTCCATTAGGTTATAGAAATGCAGGCATTCCACCAAAATCGGAGGAATGGTTATGCATTCCCACGCCTGCTTTATCTGAGAGAATGTATTCACAAGGGCCAATAGTGTCAGCAGATGAATTTCAAGACCAAGGAGCATCATTGACACTGCCTACATCCAAGAAATACGAACATTAGTACCTAGGATAGCCAAATTCCCAGTTTTCCCCCTATCAACAAATGACTAACCATCTTTCTCTTGGAGTTCGTTCGTTCAAGGCCATTAACTTGATCTCCTGTTTTCTAGATCTAAAAGTTCCTCAGCAGCCATTGCTTGTTGGACTATATTGGTCTACATGCATTGATTCTCAAATAGGCTATATGGGTTTTTAGTTTTAAACCTTGGTAATTCCAAGCCAAGAGTAAGAGTTTACCCTCCTTTTCCCTCTCTTGTACACCCAGTTTAAATTATTTCAGTTCCTTTACACTCTTTCTATTTTAGCCCATTACTTTCAAATGTCTAACTATAGTCTCCATATTACTATATCTCAATGAATGTTAAAATTAGTTTCTACTATTAGTTTATGATCAATAATTTTTCTTAGCAAATTTAGCTTCTATTCACCTATTTTCTGTCAACTTTATAAATTATTCCCATTGTGTCTTGCTGAAATCGCCGAGCCATGTCCGCCATACACCAAGTGTCTCGAGCTTTCGAGCTAACTGATAGCCCCGCCGAGAAGAGCCATACCAAGAGAAACGACGTCACGCAAAAGTAGAAGCCGTCCGAACCTGGCGTCACGGCAGCACAAAATCTTTAAAAAACGCGTATATGCTAAAATAATATATACATTATTAAATTATTGTTTTATAAACTATGCTTAGACTCGTGGACTATTTGGACAATGCTAATGGGAAATTGACTTTTTAGGGATTTTTCTATTCTGTAGAAGAACTTTTAATTCTCCGGAGTTCGAAATCCCTACAGATTTCAGATTCAGCTCAGGGAACCACAGATTCAGGCCTCCGAAGAGATGATGTCGCCGGAAGCCATGATACAAGTAGCCCTCTTCATTCTCACAGCAGCGACGATGTTAGCCGTACGAGAACTTTCCAAGCGAGCTTTCGGCAAGGTCCGCCTGAAGAACAGAGCGATCCTCCAATCCAGTCGCCACTTCCTCGAGGGAACTCATCTACTCGCTCGAGCACGATCTACTTCTCAACAATCTCAATCGATGGACTACGCGAAGAAGGCACTAAACGAGGCCGAAACGGCGCTCTCGCTTTCGCCTAGAGATCCGGCATCGCACATCTTGAAAGCCCTAGCCTTAAATCACATGGGTCACCACAGCTCCGCACTTAAATCTCTCGACGTCGCACTTTCGCCGCCGTGCTTGAAGTCATTATCCGAAAAAGAGGTCGCTAAGGCGTTGGTCAAGAGAGCCGAATTGAAAATAGCCGTCAATCGGAAACGACGACTCGACTCGGCGGTGGAAGACTTGCTGCAGGCGGTGAGTTTGGGCGGAGATGACACGAAGGCCTTCTGTTTGTTGGGCCAATGTTACGAATGGAAGAAAATGAAAGATGAGGCCAGACAGGCTTTTGAGAAGGCCTTAACTGTAGATCCTGAATCAGCCCCGGCTCGCGAGGCATTGGGCCGACTGAATTAAGCCCCATTTTGTATTCGGCTCTTCCAAATGGGCCTATCAGCATCGTTTATCGCAATAATTGTATTAGTGTAAAATTTTATGAAATATTTATGTTTTTATTATAATTCATTATCCACCCATACAGAATTTATATTTTTAAAATTATTGGTAGTAAATAATTTAAATGTTCATTTTGTGAACAATTTTAAAATACAACTTCAGTATGCTCGGGCCTGGGCCTCATTCATCGGGCCCAACCTCGGCCCATTTCTCATGGCCACCTCATCTTGCTGTCGAAGTCACAATTAGATGAAGCTGGTGGGGTATTGAGTAGGACATCCTGGGGACAGGCATGGAAGTCACAATTAGATGAAGCTGGTGGGGTATTGAGTAGGACATCCTGGGGACAGGCATGGAAGCGATGGATGAGATGAAGAGGAAAGCAGATGGTGTGGACTCTGGAGGTGGGAAATGTAAGGCATATTATGGGAAGTTATCGAATTTCTCAATTCTTACAACCTCTTCCCTGCTCCCTTAAGTAATAGCCTTGTTTCGTTAATTCAAACCACTTACATTCAATATTTATCATACCCATCAGCCCTAATTCTATTTTGGAAGAACAAGAACGTGTACCCATACAAATTCAATCCTCCATACGTAAATCCTTTGAAACCAATGTTAGTCTCAGAAGTAACTACAATATGCCTGATTGGACTATAGAAAATTGCCACTAATTGCATCAAGAAACAACAAAACGCTCTTCCCTCAAAATTTCCTTCGATTCATTCACAAGTGAAATCAAGAGCGAATAAATAAATCCATAGATTTGGTGGAGAATATAGTCAACAAGAATTGTGAATAAGAAGAACGACGAAGCATGTAACCAAAACGAGTTTTTGGTTGGTACCGCTAATATTACAGACAGCGATGAAGAAGAGGAATTTCTATTTTCGAGATACAGGGGCGAGGAGACGAACCACATATTCTTGGCGGTCGCTGTACCGCCGTTTCAGGTAGTTCTCCAGGATCTCCATCACAGAAACTAATCGTTTCATTTCCTCCAAGAGTCGGCTGAGCGCCGCCTCTCGAGCCCTAACTTGAGCCAGCCGCGACTCTGTTTCCGCTAATCGACCCCGTAGATTGTCCACAACGGAAGCGTCGCCGCCGTTTTCCGGTACGGAGGTCTGGTTAGGAGAAATGCTACCTCTGAACAAAGATCGGTGGTGGCCGTTACACATGGCGGAGACTGAAACTCAACAATCGGTGGTTGACTTGCAGCGATGGACCGGTTTTTGGATAAACAAGTCGGGGCAGCTAAAAATCGCTTCTCTGCTGCGGTTTTTGGATGAATGTGATGCCTTTTGAGGTCTGGAAATCTTACTTTCTTACAAAAGTAAATATAATAATAAGATTGCGTAAATAGAATAATAAGATTGGATATTGATAGAGACAATGACGCATTTTGTTTTTGTAAGAAAATTATCTATTGAGTGAATCGAAAGAAAACAAAAGCAAAAACACCTCCCAATTAGGCGTCGTCTCAACGTCACCAATGTCCTCTCCCTCCCTGACTCTCGTCTTCCGGTGAGTCGAGAGCCTTTCGTTTTGTCCGTTGACGTCAAACCGGCCTCGTCCTTATCAATGTCGTTAATCGCTTCTGCACCATCGGAGCTAGAAATTTGGTAATTCCATTCGCTCCTTTTCGTTCTTCTCGTTCACATCTTATTCTAGAAATTACCTCTTGAGATATACGTAATTCCAGTTCGAAATTTCGATTAATCACGGAGAAGATCTCTGTCAGGTTTGGTGCTTCCGTTGATTTGACTGGATTGTGAGTCCGAAACAGCACGACAAACAAATTTCTCAACTGGTGGAAGAGCCGGCGAGACTCGCCAGAATCTTCACTCCTCCTCATTACATTACTGGACAGACGAATCCAAATTAGTTCCAGGTAGCATTTCCAGAACGAGTAATCTCCGTGATTGAATCTGTTTCCAATCGAAATACACGGTCAATTTTGAAAACCTCCCTCACGTGTTTGCAGACTTGCAATGCCATGAAAAATGAGGCGAATGTAACGCTGAGATGAAAGGATTGCATCGATGGATTTCTAGGTTGTTCGGAAATAGACGGCTCGAGCGTTTTGGTTCGTTAGGTGAAAAACAATCAGATCAAAGCCGTGAGTTTCTCTAATTTTCAATCGGAGATGCAAATTTTTTATTTTGTATTTGAATTATAAAGTATAAGGGAGCTGGAAGGTGAGGATGAACAAGCCACTAAGAAATAAATCAGAGAGTTACAAAAGGATAGTGTTGCATTTATAAATATTTATAGGAAATACGAAGAACTGAAACGGTAGAAGTTCGAATATGGATTGTTTATCTTATAATGTATACAAAAAGGGAAGAAGAAAAGAAAGAAAATCTCCATTCCATCCATTTCCAGATTGTCAATCAAATTATGTATGCAAAATAGGAAAGAAAGATCTTACCAAGTTTACATGATATGCACAAAACAAGACTTGAGTTCGTCTAATTTGTAAACTTCGGCTCAAGATGACGATGAACTTTGCGGTAATCAGAGAATCTGCCCTTCGTCATCGTTGCCGAAAGCACGTCAAGTTTCCGAGATTTGCAGGGAAGAAGAAAGCCATAGTTCCATATACTTCTTGCTCTCTGCAAAAGATAAGATACATTCAAACTTTGATGTTGAAGGTATTCATCAGCTCCAAGAACATTTAAAAAAAGCTTCTCTCTTTTGCCCTTTCCCTTTCATTATTACTTAATTTAGGAGATTGAAATAAGAAAAAGGATTTTTATGATAAAGGATTCAGCTTTATCAGCTTGGGAACATACTGGTCATCATCAAGCTATTACATCTGAGGACTCCTGACTCTACAGTTGCAAGGAATTGTAACGCCAGTCATTTTTCTGCAACTTTAAAACCTCATTCCTTGGATCATTAAATCGAAGTCCAGAACGAAGCATGGTTCAGAAACACACGCACCCAGAAATAATCGAATGTCGAGTTCATTTCATAACATATGAACAGACGATTAACAGAACATAAACTACTACTTCAATAGAAACTTCCTGAAGAAGAAAAAAAAAAAATGTTACCAAACAGCACATCAAAGAGGAGAAATTTGGGTGTAAATCTATCGCCCTACGCGGACCAGCTGCCACCACCATATGTTTCCTTAGGTCCATGATTTTTCATTTTAATCTAAAATCTGATGCTGGTCCAAAATGTTGTCTGATGTTGCTTCCTTCAAATCATGAAATTTGGAACAGTAACTTATGATATGCACACAAGAGATGAGATAGAGACCAGTCCACTACAATATATAACAAAAAAAACTTGTTTTTTTCCTACAGAGAAAAGATTCAACGACTTATTGCAGGCTTGTGGCTATTCATCTACCGCATCTTGATTCCAGCAGGCGCAGGACTATGGAGAAAACACAACAATTGGTAACATACATGAATTGTTTGGTAGCTCTTTTGAGAAGCATTCTGTTTTTTTATACAAGGATTCAAGAAAAACAAGTGCAAGTGACTGTATTAAAAGTTGTTTCTAACTCATTTGTTCTTGTATCTGTTCTACCATGTAGCCTCTTTTAAACCAATTAAAGTTGTTGTTCATTTGAAATCACAACCTTAACCTTTACAAGTCAGTTTTGTCTTGAAACACAAAACAAACAACATTACTGAAAACAGCTCCAAAACATGCCCAATCAATGTGTTCCCAAATTTTAGGAATGGTGTCTCTTAACAACCATTCAATACTTTATATCCCAGCTGCAACAGTAATCATTAAAGATCACAAAGAATGTTCATACAAAAATCATGTAGGAAAATTCATAAACTAATGGCAGACACAAGGCATTGGGTCAAATAACAGTATAATGCACACCACAAACAGAAGGCCTTACCAGGTGAGAATTCATGTTGAAGGTTTTTTATGGCAGCCAAAAGCTCGACGTTTGAACCCTCCACCACCTCTCTGCAACGATTGCTATAGGAAGGGACCAGAACGGCAAAACTATCATCGCTCTGAAAGCCAGGACCGTGAGGCTCCAACCAACCAATAGACCAATCGGCCTCATCAGCAGAGTCAGGCATTTGCATGTCATCACCGCCAGATGGTACAATCAGAAAATCGTATTCCCAGTCAATCCTCGTTGTTTCTTTCTTACTTCGCCATTTCTGGTTCTTGACCTTCTTTGAAGATGAACCCAAGTCCACCCTCTTCAACTTGAGACTCTCAGGTTCTCTCAGACCAGTACCAACCTCGGAGGGAGAATTTGAAGGTCCCCCATTTGCGACAGACTCTTTTTCCTTCCCCTTCCAAAACCACAATGAAAAACGGCTGAAAGACACGGCCATCGGTTCTGCTCCAGACGAGTGAAAGACTTTTGGGGGAAAATTTAATAAGGAAACTAAGAGGTTTTCCCCATAGAATTTACAGGTAGAATCTCAAAATGGAAAGGAGTGGCTGATGGGGCCTGTTTGATCAGTAACCTCCATATGGAAAATTAAAAAATAAATAAATAAATAAAAGTAAAAAGAAAAAACTACGAAAACTCCTATCTAGATCTCAAACGATCAATATGAAAGTTCTCCAAAATTTCTTCTCCAATTACTCAGAACCCAGAAAGCATCCAAACAAAGTTCACTCAAGCTATTTGCCAAAGCTCAGAAGTCACTTTCACGCCCAAACACAATCAAGAATCTTATCCCACTCCTCTACGAATATATCAGTTGTTGCTCTAAAAATGCGAGCCACAACGACAACAAAAAAATAAATCGAGTTCAAAAGATTGATCGGATAAGAAAACCAAGATCGCCCGTCATTCGGTAGATCGCCACTCAAAACAAAATGGGGGAAAATCCGCTGAACACCGACTTCAAACCTCGAAACAAGAATTTGGGATTTCTGAAATCTCAGGGCGGAGAAATCGAAGAAGCAGATTGTTTCCCCTCAAATTATAGCATTTCCACTCACAACTAAATGCCCAATTTACAATGAAATTTTACACAGTCTCTTATATTTTATTCAACATAGTTATCTTTTATTCCTTAGTCAATTATATTGCTCCACTCCGCTTCTAACTCAATCAATCACCAATTGTTAATTTAATTAATTATAATTTTTTTAATATTAAAATGGGAATTAGGCATTTAATTTGACTTATCATGGAAATACATTATTATAGCAGAATCGTCCAAATATCATGACGTGGGGTTAACAAATCAACGTACTCTTTGCAACGGATGTTTAAATTACTGCAACGTGTACGGTGAATCTTTAGTCACTCTCTCTCTCGAATTTCTACTTTTTTTTTTTTAATCTTTTTAATAATAGGTCTAAAACAAATTGATTAAATATATTATGGTTTGATATTTAAATTATAACCATGTTTTAAATCTTTTAAATTTATGTACCACATTTTACAATGGTTAATAATTATTTTAAATAGTTTGAAACATTTTTGGAATTCTTTATTTTCAAAGAATTGATGCGAATGGGAATCAACGTTCATAATAATTATATGCTGAACTTTCCAATAGGGATAGTGTTTTTATTTTCGAAAAGAAAGGGTTATATTCAACCACAAGTCCAAAAGTTGTTTCCACACATTAGGATCATAATTATATACATTAATCCACTGCCATATTTTGTCAAAGTTGTTCCTTTTTTTTTTGTCTTCATCTAATCATGGAAGCTTATAATTGAAGCAAGAGAGGATACACGTTAGTTACACCACGATTTTGAACTAGAAGACAGATTTTAAAAAATGGTAGATGTATTCGCTGTAATAATTGAGTTGGTCATTCATTAGCAATAGCGAAATTTTATGGAGAATTTGTCACTACTTATGAATCCGAAGTCGATGAGTCCATGACCAAGACATAACTTGAATGAAACTTAGTAAAGATTAGAAGAAAGGACTCGTAAAATGATACTCAAACGGCGGTACTTCTCAACCACTCGAGTTCGGGTTCACTTCCCTGCTACAAGATCCCATAATAGGTCGAGGAAAAGATATTTAAAATTTTTGGTTTGGTTTCTTTCAAATCAGAATTGCCTTTTTCTTGTATCATAAGATTACTACAATACCCCTCATTTGATTCTTTTGGGTAACTTTAATACACTCTTTTCCCCTAAGCAATCAAATTGGAAGCCAGTTTGATATTTGCTATTATTGTTTCTTTCATTGCCATGTGACCTAATAATGCCAATAACGAGTGATTGAAAATACAATCCATTTCAACATTCTCATGCTTAACGATTCAATTAAGATTCCTTCTTTATTAACATGACAGC